CACTGTCCAAATTTGAATTAATAGACTGCAATGCAAATGAATAAATCAAATCTCTGGAGTCATTGACACTGTTGAATCTTGAATAAATAATCAAGTCCTACATAATGTAATAATAAATCATCTAATTGCAATTTTGAATCTTTGTTTATTGTATGCCGCAAAGATTTGCATTTTTTAGGGGTTTTTTTTTTTTTTTTGTATGTTGAAAATTCTTAAAATTTCAAACCGCCAAACCGATTCGCATCCATCCGCCAAACCGATTCGCATCCATCTGCCAAATCCGCATCCACCGGATTGGCGGATGGATGCGGATTGATTTTCTCCAATCCGCCAATTTGGCGGACGGATGGCGGATTGGAGGTTTCGTGGCCGCAACCGATCCACGCCCACCCTTACTTTAATGCAGTTATGTGACTGGCATTTTGAAAATAACAATTCACTTTGAGGCATTTCTTTGATTTAAAATGAAATATGACAAATCTATCATATTATTCTGTACAGAAAAAATCAAAAACCATCATAAGAACCATCATAAGAACAGTCGGAAGGGGAAAGGTGAAAAAATCAAAAACCTAGAAAATTGGGAGAAGAAAAAATCAAATACCCAGAAAATGGGGGAGAAGAAGAGAAGAAAAGAAAAAGAGAAGAGAAGAAAAGGGAAGACGAAGAGAGAGAGAGAGAGAGAGAGAGAGAGAGAGAGATACCTCAATGTATATTGCCGTTTAGTGTAGATTAGATCTATCGGCGTTGGTGTAGATCATCGAACGACGACGAGGGACGATGGGTAGGGGAGAGAGAGAGAGAGAGAGAGAGAGAGAGAGAGAGAGAGAGAGTCCGTCTGTGTGTGTTGTGTTTTCCACCGAAGAAATTAGGGCAAAATGAGGCAAATCAGAAACAAAAGGGGCTACTGCTGGCATAAAATGGAAAAAAAAAATAATAATAATGTGGCATGGTCGGGTCGGGTTAGCTGGTTAAAATGGCGGGTGACCCGCCACCCGATCCGAACCCGAAATAATACAAAATCCTGGCCCGCACCCGTCCGCCACTTACCACGCATCCATCCGTTTGTGTTCGGGTCGGGTCGGGCGGGTCGGTGGATCTGCTGCACAGCCCTAAGTTCTCCTACTGCGAACCATCGGTGACTGCCAACAACCACTGTTGATTGTCGGCGGCCATCAACAACTATTTTCAACAAATATTTCCAAATGACTTTCTTGGCAATCATTCGGCGACTTTTCCAACAAATTAAAACTGATGAAAAAATTTTCAAAACCACGTGCCATCTTTTGGTTGGATAAAAAGATTACACATTTCTTATCTTAGGATCACTGGCGTAATTTGACAATATACGGTTAGGTTAGACTTCCGTTGGCAAAAATTTTTTTGGTTAAAATAGGGATAAAAGGATAAAATAAGTTAAAAAATTAATAAGATAAAAATATTATATTTAAATAATAATTATTTTTTTTCTTACAAAAATAAAAAAATCAAAAAGCCTATCACAAATGAAACTTTTTAAATAACCAAAAAGTCAAAAAGTTAAAAAGTTAACTCACATTCCAAACAAAGGCTAAAAGTTAATTTTTTTAATTTTTTTGGTCATATGATCTCTTTATTTTTTTGCATATTTTTTCAAAAAACGTCGAAAAAAAAAGTCAGTCTTTAACCTACTTTACAAAATAGACCACTATTA